GCGATGAAGTTATTTTGCAGGAATCCAGGCGATGAAGCTATTTTGCTGAGCCACATCTATTACAGTTATGGCTCCTCCCCTCCTCTTACTCCCAACACTTCTCTTTTCCTAAATGCTGTTCTAGCAGGAGGGTTAAATTTGGCATGTATATGTCCCTTCTTTCGGGATGCGTTCATTGGTCTCCCACTTATATGAGGCATGCTGGCCCAATCTGTGAATTTCAGAGTCTCAAGAAGACTGGACCTTACCAGGAAATTTACTTCATGGCTTGGAGGCCAGCCACACATGCTAGGGGAAAAGGGAGCTCAGATAGAGAAGGGAGCACAAAATAAAGGGTGTTGGGAGGATCCTCCCAGGATGGGAGAAGCATGCTGAAAGTAGACTATAGAGCAAACATGATTGCCATTCAATGCCTCTTTTGCAAACCACAACACCCAAAAGGAGAGAGAGAACAAAAGGGAATGCCCTGCCAAAGAGGCAGGGTGGGGTGGGGGGATGGGGGGGTGGGAGGGATACTGGGATCCGTGGTGGTAGGAAATGGGCACTGGTGGAGGGATGGGTATTTGATCATTGTATAATTGAAACCCAAGCACAAAAATTTGTAAGTCTACAACTGTACCTCATGGTGTCTCACTAATAAAAATTAAAAAAAAGAAGACTGGACCTAGGAGTTGGGCAGATTTTTTTGGCAAGTCCTTTAACTCCTTTTTAGGTTCTCTGTCTTCCTCTCTCAAGGGGAGTGTGGTGTGATAGTCCCACCTTTGAGAAACTAATGAGTTATACATGCAGAATTCCTAAAGCGGTGTTTGCCACACATCATCAGAGTGCTCACATCCTATCTCTGTGTATTTGACACTGTGTTAGGTCCAAAGTATACACAGAGGAATGAGACTGGGTCCTCAGCTGCATCTCTAGATGATGAAAGTAGAAAGTCCAGATTTCTCAGTGGCTTCGAGAAGGCACTCTCCTCTCTCTTGTTCTGTGGTCCTGGGCATTATATGAGCGGACAAGTCTCTTGAGAGCTCTGGACTTTATATGTAGTTCCGGGACAATAGGGGTCATGCTAAACAATGTTCTGTTCCAAAAAGAGTCTCATGTTTTGTTGGAATCTAGGCAATGAAGTTATTTTGCTGGATTCTAGGCAATGAAGTTATTTTGCTGAGCCACATCTATTATTGTTATGCCTCTTCTATAACTTAACATGACTTCTCTGTTTTTCGTGTTATAACATAAACGTTTTCCCTTTAGAACGTAAGTATTAAAGAACGGAAGCAGTCAGAGCCAGCCAGCCTCAGTTTGATTTCTGCTCTGTTACTTCTGGAGCAATAGCACAGCGGGTAGGGCGTTTGCTTTGCACGCAGCTGACCCGGGTTTGATTCCCAGCATCCCATATGGTCCCCCGAGCACTGCCAGGAGTAATTCCTGAGTGGAGAGCCAGGAGTAACCCCTGTGCATTATTGCTGGGTATGACCCAAAAAGAAAAAAATAAAACAGTACTGCAATGAACACACACGTGCAGATGTCACTTTGACTATACTTTTGGGCTGGAGCGATAGCACAGCGGGTAGGGCGTTCGCCTTACACGCGGCCAACATGGCCGACCCGAGTTCGATTCCTCCGCCCCTCTCGGAGAGCCCGGCAAGCTACTGAGAGTATTCTATATGCCAGACACAGTAACAACAAAGTCTCCAATGGAGACGTTACTGGGCCCGCTCGAGCAAATCGACGATCAACGGGAGGGCCTTTACCTTACCTTTACCTTACTTCTTTAGTGACCTTGGACCAGTTGCTTCACCTCTCTGTGCCCTGGTTTACTTATCTGTAATAGGGTTAATAGTTGGACCTATGTCCTGAGGTTGTGCTTAGGATTATACAAAATAATTCACATTGGGACTGAGATAGTCTCGCATGTGATAGGACCTCAATTCAAATCCCTGGTATCACCTCTGAGCACCACCAGAGGTCCCTCTTGAGCATAGAGTTTGGAATAGCCCCTGAGCACTGCCTGGTGTGGTCCAACTCCCTCCCCTCTCCCCTGAATTTATATGTAGCTTTTGGTATAATGTCCTAGAGTTTAGGGATTAATGACTAATATTTGCTGTATAATCTTCCCAGTCACCCTCACCATGACTCCAGGCGATTAAATGAAACAGATACCATAATACCTTCTGATGTTGGTATGGTAAAACATTCTTAAGACATTTCCTAAAGGTCATACTGCAGTTTAGAATAAAAACCACAGGATCAAATTTAAAAAAAATCAAACGTTGGATGAATCAACATTAATACAGTTATCTTTCAAAACCATACCCCTCCAGTTCCTACCCATAAAGCAGGCATTTTAGAAGCTCCCGTGTGCTAGATCCTTGTCTGAGGCAGAGGGCTGGCCTCCATCATTTTGGCAAGGTCCTCTAATCTTTTCTCTGTGCTTCTCCAGGCGTAGAAGCCGCATCAGCTTTTCTCTCCCACTGCCAGAGACTCTCTGCCATAGCACAGCTTAGGGCTAGCCCAGCATTTTTCGGCTATCACATGGGGCTAGCCAGCAGGGCCGTCGTCTGGCTCTGTCAGCTGATAGTACAGTTGGAGGACAGAGAATTCAGCTGTGGTCCTTCAGCCAACAGGGCTCCAAGTCAGCACTGGTAACGAATAGATGAAACACAAACCCGCACAGACTTTGTGCTTTGTATGTTCCAGTCTGTGTGAGAACATTCTCTTCGATCCTCAGCTCAACCGAGGACCGGTACCTCGGAGAGATGAGGGAATGCAGAGGTGAATGGTTTCCCCTACAGGGCCCCAGCTGGCCCAGTCACGAACCAGATCCATCTGCCTCTAAATAGACACTCTCTTCCAGGGCACCACAGGCTCCTTTTCAGTTGAATTCAAATGAACAGGCTTGATCTAGCGCTTATTTACATCACCCCTTCAAGGCACTTAGTGCAGACAGAGCAGCCAGATGGGAGAAGCAAACATGGAAATGGAAAGTTCTAGATGGCTAATGCGTGCCTATGAGAAATATTAAAGCTGTATGGGTTTATCCTGTTTATAGATTACAAGTTTATCCTGTTGTATGTATTTCTTTTTTACTGGTTTGTTTTGGGGCCACATTTGGCAGTACTCAGGGCTTACTCCTAGCTCTGTGTTCAGGGATCACTCCTGGGTGACCATATGGGATGTCAGGGATCCAACCTGGGTTAGTCAGGTACAAGGCAAATGCCCTACCTGCTCTGGTCCTGCACTGTTGTATATATTTCTGAAAGCCATCCTTCATCCTTTTAAGAAGGGGCAAGAGAGCGACAGATTAATAGGTCAGTGCTGCAATTAATGGATAGGCAAATGACAGTGGGGAGATGGCTGAGATTATTCATTCCCATTCAGAGCTCCAGGAAAGGCTTAAAGGAGCAGGTATTTTGGTTGAACTTGAAGAACTGATAAGGTCAGCAGGAGAATATGGGGGCAGGTCATGACCTATCTTCTTCCTTCCCCAGGAGAAGTCAAAACAGAGCCTTGATTTGGTCTTGCCAGAAGACCCACATACATTCCATTCCCCTCCCCATTACATCAGAGATCTGTCCCGACACACCCATAGATACAAATGCAAAACAGACAAATATACACAAAATACACAGTAGCACAACATGTTTTACACATACAAGTCCCCAAGCTCAGCAGTTCGGACAAATATAATCCTCCTACACACAATCACCAAAAACGTTCGTGCTTTCCTCTCAAGCACATACGTACCCCCTCCTCACCCACTCCTCACGCAAGGCAATGAATGCATGTTTTCATGAGCGCATCCACAAGTTCACACACAGCTCGTCCTGCCCTTCTGGTTGGAGGCCAATGACTAATGGGAAACCTTGCACAAAGGCAAGCATCACGCACGCGGGAGGCCAGGAATGGGTTGGCGGCAGCGGCGGCGGGGCAGGGATGAAGTCTTGTTAACAAGACAAGCCTGCCCCCTTCGGGGTCCCCCAGGAAGCCCCTGAGCCCAGGCTGCAGCGCTGGGCGGTCCCGGGGAGGCCTCGCAGCATCCCCCCCCCCCCCCCTCGGGTCCAGCTTCAGCTAGGCTTCAGGGTTAGCCGGGGTCAGATTGTGCTGTCAGACACGCCCCATTCTCTGCAACAGGCAGGCGGCTCTGGGCACCCAGCAGGCTTGTGGCGGGGAACTTGTCTGGACACAGGACGCAGAGTAGTTAGCACTAATGAGTGTTTATTGCAGGCCCGGCACGGGCTTCAGCCCTTGAAGAACATTGCCTAATTGTCTGCGGGATGGAGCTGGGGGATAGGGGTGCGGGGTGTCTACTACCCGCCCACTCGGGTGAGGAAGCTGCACTCGGGCCACAGGACCCCTTCGGCTCCACCTGTTCTCCGGGGAGGGCGGGGGAGTGTATTTGTGCCGGTCTATCTCCGCTGCTGGCGGGTCTCTAACCCAGGGCCAGGCTAGCCTAGCGACCTGCCCGCAGCAGGTGTCTGGCTCGCGGGCCTCACTTTCCCCATCGCTAAAATGGGCGCGGCAGAGCACAGGTCCAGGCTCTCGGACAGCAGAGAGGAGACAGAGCCCCACATCCATCCTCGCCGCTGCCGCCCTCGCCCAGTCCTGGGGCTCGCAGGCCGGTCCCCACCCGGGTCGGGCAGCAGCGCCGGCGCCCCTTTGTTCTGGAGGGCGGGGAAGCTCCCGAGAGCAGAGTCCCCCCCGTGGCTCGCGCCGGCCGCCCCGTGGGGCAGGAGGCTGGGCCCCGCGCGTCCTTTGTCTGCTCCGCGGCGCCGGGTGCCCGAGGCCCGCGCCCCACTCCCGGGGCAAGACAAAGCCGGCGCCGCCGCCGCCAGCCCGAGCGGCTGCCGCGGGACTCGCACCACCCTGGCCCCGCCTCCGCACCGCCCCCCGCGCCTCGGCGCGCTCGGATTGGCCCGCGGGGCCGCGCAGCGGGGGAGTCACGTGGGCGGGCGTGGCCGCCCATTGGCGCGCGCCGCTGCCGATCGCGGGGGGCGGGCCGTGCGCGCCCGGCCGGCGCGCTCCGTCGGCGCTGGGGCCCGCCCGCGGGGCCGGCCGCCTGTCAGAGGGAGGTGGCGATGCTGCGCCCGGTGGCGGCGGCGGCTCGGCGGGTGCGACTGCAGCGAGGGGGACAGGACGGAGCGAGCGGCCGGCTGAATGAATGAATGGCGGAGCCGAGCGCGCCATGAGGAGCCTGCCGAGCCTGGGCGGCCTCGCCCTGCTGTGCTGCTGCTGCGCCGCCGCCGCCGCCGCCGCCGTCGCCGCCGCGGGGAATGTCACCGGGGCCGCGGGGCAGGTGGACGCGACGCCGGGCCCGGCAGCGAGGAGCGAGCCCAGCGCCCCTTTCTCTGAAGCCACAGCGCCCCCCGGCCTGGGCCCGAGCAGCGCTGCCCCGCGCGACCCCGTGCAGCGACTCCCGGCCGCGTCCTCTTCGCCGCCGTCCCCGGAGACCAGCCCTGCTCGCCCCCCAGCCCGACCCGCGCCCACCACCTTGCAGACGGCGCCCGGCCTCTCGCCCACCACCGCTCGGGGCGAGGAACGCACCCCGAGCACCCCTCGGGCCACCCCCAGAACCGCGCGGACCAGTCCCTCGACGACCACCGGCCCGGCGCCCACTACCCCCGCGGTGACCACCGGCCCGGCGCCCACCAGCCTCGCGGCGCCCACTGTCCCGGCGCCCACCACCCCGCTGACCCCGAGCCCCGCTCTCCCCAGCAGCAGCGGCGGCAACAGCAGCAACAGCAGCAGCAGCGGCGGCAGCGGCGGCAGCAACAGCAGCAGCAGCAGCAGCAGCAGCAGCAGCAGCAGCAGCAGCAGCAGCAGCAGCAGCAGCAGCAGCAGCAACAGCAGCAGCAGCAGCGTCCCGCCCACCGGCCCTGCCACCGAGCCCCCCTCGCCTGCGCCCCCAGGTGAGTCCCAGCGCCTCCACGCCCGCGGCACCCACCGCCCGGGCGGCTGCCCAGCACCACCCCAGCCCCGGGCCTCTCTGGTCTATCGATGATCGTTTCTGGCCCCCCAGTTCTCCCGCTCCCCCCACCCCTCCCCAGGGGAGGTCCAAGCTCGGGCTCGCCTGCCTCCCCAGCACCCCCCCTCCAGCCCCCCAGTTGGCAAAGTCCTTTGTCCGCCTTGAGCTGTGCTTCTTGGGCGCGGGGCGGCTGCTTTGGGGGGTGAGGGGGAGGCGGCATCGCACCCCCTTCCCGGCAGCCTTTGTCAAGACCCTTGGAATCGATGGAAACTTTCGGGTCCGCTCGCCCGGTTGGTCGCCTCGGTTATTGGGCGGGGGTGGGGTGGGGAGTGGGGGGTGGAGGTGGGGGGTTGTTGGAGTTTGAAAGCCAGCACAGGGCATTGGGTCCAAAACGGAGTCGAAAGGGATTCCTAAAGCTCCACCCCTCCTTGTTTATATAAATATCAGACGTACATGTGACAGGTGGAAGAGCTAGGGGAAGGATTTTGTTGAGAAACAGTAGCACATACCTTTTGAAGCAAAAGGAGAGGGGAAAAAAAAAGAATGTAACCCATGTTCTCCCCCGCACACAAATGGCTTCACTAGGTCATTTGGGACAGGTGTGTATCTAGGATGATTTAAATTAGGTTAAATCCTTCCCTGCACCATTTCCCCGCCTTCCTCAATTTCAAGATCAATGTATCTGGATGCTTATGTCCCCCACCCCCAAAAGCTAGAATGCTCCATCTTGCTGATGAATCCAATTTCTGTTGCCGGCTGTGTCGGAAATAAGGCTTTGCGTTCTGCTGGATGAAGTCGTCTAGTAAAGTTAGAGACAACTCCTTTTTATAAACCCATTTTGACCTAACATGGGCCAGATATAAGTAAAACCTACCTTGCCGGGCTATTAGACAGAAGTGTCTGAATTCCTTTGCTTTGAGATTGGGGAGAAGTTTTGTCCCAACTGTTTGTCTGGCTGTAGTTACATGAATGGATCTCTGACCTAATTCTTAGTCTGAAGTCAGGTATGAACTTTGGACTGTAATTGAATTAGCTGAGCATTTGCACACATGATTATGAGTTAATACAGTCTTGAATCTCTGGCTGGGGGTTGGTATTAGCAAAAGCAGGAATGTAGGATGTTCACTCATGAAAAGTTAAGTTTGCCTCTCTTCCAGCCTCAAGGTGTGAATTAACTAGCTGCATTTTGACTGTAACTCTACTTCGTGTTTGTATAGAGATTGCTACATAACTGAAATAAGCATAGGGACTAAGAGTATAAACTCTGGAATTCATTCACTTCTTTTTTCCTTCAAAAAAAAAACAAGAATAAGAGCCACAGCGAAAGAATAGTGGGGAAGGCGCTTGCTTTGCATGAGGCTGACCCAGGTTCGATTCCTGGCATCTCAGATGGTGCCCAGAGCACCAGCAGGAGTAATTCCTGAGTCCAGAGCCAGGAGTAACCCCTGAGCATCACCGAATGTGGCCCCCCAACAAAACAAAACAAAAAAGCAAAAATGCCAGACCCCCAAAACCCAAAAAACCCAAACCCAAAGAAAACCTCCTTACCCTTCAAAATAAAAAAGTAACCTTCCCTCTCTTCCCTCTGTTTATAGTCTGTGTTACCCCAGTTTATAGTCTGTGTCTACTGTGGGGACCATTCTTAAGTTTGAATCTTAGATCTGCCCTTATTAACTGTAATCTTGGGCAGAGCAACTAACCTTTCTCTTCATCTCTAAAATGAAGATAATAATAGAACTAGCCTCAGAGGATTGGCAAGAAGATTGAGTCAGTTAATACATTTGTAGTGATTAGAACAGTTCCTCATGCAGAGTAAGCACCATGTGTTAGTTAGCTAGCCTTGGAACTAGGCCGCTTTCCCGGGATACAAAGTACTGGAGAAGCCTATTAGGAACTTGTGACTTTTATGTGTTTTTGTATAGTAGAAAAAGGGTTGGAAACATATGGTAGCATTTAAGTAGCAAGGTCACTTATTTGAAATGGTTAGTGTTTGATAAACAAGCCAGTATAATTGATGTTGATTTACTTGTATTATTTTTGTATTGTTATTTTTAGTTCTTTTTGACCCCCCTTTGAGTTTTTGGGCCACTCCACGTGGTACCCAGGGCTTACTTTGTCACTGTGCTCAGTGTTTACTCCTGGCGATGTGTGACAAGCAGTATGCCGTGCCAGGAATCCAACCTGGGTCAACCATGTGCAAGATGAGCACCTTCCCTCCTAGGATGTGCAAGATCAGCCTCCCCTCCTGTACTAATTCTTCAGCCCCTGTATTGTTACTTTTAAATCATAAAGGCCCTCCCGTTGATCGTCGATTTGCTCGAGCGGGCCCAGTAACGTCTCCATTGGAGACTTTGTTGTTACTGTGTCTGGCATATCGAATACTCTCGGTAGCTTGCCGGGCTCTCCGAGAGGGGCGGAGGAATCGAACTCGGGTCGGCCATGTTGGCCGCTTGTAAGGCAAACGCCCTACCCGCTGTGCTATCGCTCCATCCCTTTTTAAATCATAGAGATAAATATACTTTACTTCATGAAACACCAATCAAATTGAAGCAATCCCAGACAAACCCTACTACAAAGGAAAAAGTGAAAGTCACTCTTTTAGAATGCCCCCTAGTTCACTCAGTCCCTAGAGGTTAACTACTGTTAATAGTTTTCTCTCTCTTCAGACTCTTTTCTGAGCATATATGAACACATATATGGTTTTAAAAATAGCTATTGATAGTACAGAGGTTAAGATGCCAGCCTTGCCTCCTGCAGTTCAAATCCCTGGCACCATATAAGTTCCTTAAGCCCTCCAGGGGTCACTGCTGAGCAGAGAGCCAGGAATGGTGCCTTTGCACCACTGGGTGTGGCTCAGCCCTATCCCCTTTCCCATAACTAATAAAAAAAAACTCAAAATGAGGGGCTGGAGTGATAGCACAGTGGATAGGGCATTTGCCTTGCACGTGACCGACCTAGATTCGATTCCCAGCATCCTATATGGTCCCCTGAGCTACCGCCAGGAGTAATTCCTGAGTGCAGAGCCAGGAGCAACCCCTGTGCATCACCAGGTGTGATCCAGAAGGCCAAAAACAAAACAAAACAAAACAAAAACCCAAAAAACCTCAAAATGAAATATTTATATACATAGTCTTACAACTTGCTATATTAACTATCACACACACACACACACACACACATCCCATGTTACTATACCTAGCATCTACCTTACTCTTAAAAAAAAAAAAGAATTTGTGGGGGAGAACCAGAAAGATAGTATAGAGGTTAAGGTGCTTTCCCTGCAAGTGGTGAATTTGATCTCTGGCACTGCATGAGTACCTGACCATTGCCAGGAGTCATCCCTGAGAACAGGGCCTTAAGCAATGCCAAGTATGGTCTTGCAAAAACAAAAACAAAAATAAAAACAATTTTTTTCAGAGAATGTTTTCTAGGTGTTGCTCAAGTAGCCCAGGGCTACTCCCTGTAGTACTGGCCAGTGGTTCAGTGCTATGTCAGCAGACTGCTTGGACCCTGTGGTGCTGGGGTGAAGTGCTCTGGGGCCTTCAAGGCCATGGTGATGCTTGGGCCCATGTGATGCCAGGAATTCATGCCCTAGCTCTGATACTGTCCCCGAACCCTCCTTTTCTTAATAGTTGTATGTTTTCAACTTAAAAATATGTCATGCTCTTTATTTAACCAGTCCCTTGTTTATAGACACTTAGGTTACTCTGGGCTTAAAAATGCAGTTTATTTCTTGTTCAGTCCATGATGTACATACTCTCTAATACTTTGGCTAAATTTCCATAGAATCGAATCAGTTTTAAGTGAAGCTGGAATGACTCAAATTGACCCTAAATGCTATTCAATTCTTTTAGTAAGTTCTTTGGCCTAACACATATCAGTATCTCTGGTGGTCTTGGACACCAAAAAGTTTTAAAAGAAAGTCCAACTAGGGTAATCTCTTCTATGTTTTAAATTTCTAGTAGTTGGTATTTTTCTTTGAATTCACTGTGGATCGTCTGTGCCCAATATCCAGCAACCAGACTGTCTGCGGGCACATTGATAGGCAATTTAACTTTATAGTGATATAATCAAGCATAGCCTTTTAATCTGAGCCTAAGTTCTAGTCTACTTCAAAGAGTAAACACATCTCTTTGATGGAAGGAAAACATCTAATTGAATCTGAGAGACCTAGTTTAGCTTGCAAAGTTGGCCCCTAGTATTTGGGAAGAGAGTTGTTCAGGGTGTTCTGTTTTAATGTTTGTGTAAGGACTGTGTGTTGTCGAGGAGGTGAGTTTTCTAGCTGCTCTTTGAATTAATAGGCTTTTTTTTTTTTAACATCTAGTTCTGAGCCCTTGCCTGCCGCTCAGTGAGGTCTCAAGCCCTGATCTGCAAACTGAAACTAATTGCCTGGTAAGCAGGCACTTTCCTCCCACAGACCTGGCAAAACATTGGACTGGTAGAAAACATTGGACTGGTAGACTGGGTAGGATATCTGAAGAAGGTCTAAGGGGAGAGACTGTAATAGAGTTATAGTTATCAGCAGTAAGACGCTAAGGTGAGGACAGATGTTGGACTTAAAAGAAAAAAATAGATCTTTACAAAGCCAGGAGTAGCCCCTGAGTATCGCCAGGTGGTTGTAGGTGACACCTGGCGATACTCAGGGGCTACTCCTGGCTTTGTACTAAGGAATTACTACTGGTGGTGTTTGAGGGACCATATGGGATGCTGGGGATCGAACCTGGATCGGTCGCCTAAAAGGCAAGCTCCCTACCCGCTGTACTATTGCTCCGCCCCACCCCTTAAAAAAAAGTATATATACATTTTTGTTTTGTTTTGGGGCCACACCTGGTAGGACTATTCCTCTCTCTGCTTGGGCATCACTCGCAGCAGTGCCCAGGGAACCATGCATTGCTGGGGATCAAACCTAGGCCTTTTGCATATGTTCTGCCCATTGAACTCTTT